CACCCCAATGTTCATAGCAGCACTATTTACAATAGCCAAAACATGGAAACAGCCTAAATGTCCATCAACAGGTGGCTGGATAAAGAATAAGTGGTATATTTATACAATGGAATACTACTCAGCCATAAAAACCGACAACATAATGCCATTTGCAGCAACATGGATGCTCCTGGAGAATGTCATTCTAAGTGAAGTAAGCCAGAAAGAGAAAGAAAAATACCATATGAGATCGCTCATATGTGGAATCTAAAAAACAAACAAACAAACAAACAAAAACAAAGCATAAATACAGGACAGAAATAGACTCATGGACAGAGAATACAGACTTGTGGTTACCAGGGGGGTAGAGGGTGGGAAGGGATAGACTGGGATTTCAAAATTGTAGAATAGATATAAACAAGATTACACTGTATAGCACAGGGAAATACACACAAAATGTTATGATAAATCACAGAGAAAAAAATGTGACAATGAGTGTGTATATGTCCATGAGTGACTGAAAAATTGTGCTGAACACTGGAATTTGACACAACATTGTAAAATGATTATAAATCAATAAAAAATATTAAAAAAAAACACAAAGTTTATGTTTCATCACTTAACATGTGTGGTACCTGAGAGTCTTTTGAAAACAGTCACATTATTTAATGCATTTCTAGAAGTCTAGTACAGCAGATTGGAAAGCACAATTTTAAGATTAATATGCACCTTTATATCATAGTTTTCTTTAAGAGAAAATGAATACCCTAGTTTGAGAATTTACTAAGCACACAAATATACATTCAACAGACTCAAACTGAGAACATTCCTTTAAATGATTAGAAAGCTTTAAAAACATGTATATGTACCTACAGATGTATAAATAAAAAGTTAAATAGATTATTAAGGAAAAAACAAAACCCTCTCCTATTATTTGAGAGATTTGTGGCTAGAATTGAAATACTGAAATTGGACCATGCTATTGACAGAAGTCACTAGACATTTATTCACATCACTGTAAACATGACATTGCCTGAAAACTAGAGAAAATTAAGACAAGGTGGTTTAAGGGGAAGAACACTGGAATAAGAGTTAAAAGAGGAAATAAAAAGTTTCTTCTCTTCTAACTCTTGTAGTAGCTAGATGTATAACATAAACAAGTTATGTATTCTTTCATATTCAGAGTCTTCCTCCATAGAATTAATGAAGTAGAAGATGACACCAGACATCCCTTTAATATTTAATGATTTAAGACTCACTACATTGAAAATTTACACTATTTGTATTATCTTCCAAAGTGAATGCTCAAGAAAACATACTAAATTATACTTACTCATAGAGCCTTGGCTCTTCGACCATTCCAAGCTGATTTAATAATTTAAATGTAACATAGCCATCCTTCATAGTTTTATCCAGAACAATTATACTGAGGACAAAGTAATAGGCTACAAAACAAAAATATAGGCTGCAATTCATGTTATTTTTAAACTTTTGTTTTGCTGCAGATATGCATGTAAATTTATATTTATATAATATAGGCACACATTATATCTGCAAATAATATTGACAGGCACTCATTTAGCACATAAGTAATATATTTTACCTCTTATTAATCTTTACCTAGCCTTGAAAATGAGGAATGAAAAAGCCTCCCATACAGTCATTGGTATGGTGAAGTGCTGGTCAAATAAATAGTAAATACTAGCTGGTCTACAAGCCAAAAAAATATCAGAATTTAGGTCAATTAAACATTTTTTCCTTATCAATAGCACATCTAAGGTAAATATGATAAACCAAATCTTCAGCAAGGAAACAAGGACTACTACAAAAACATATGAAAAACCCTCAAAAGTCAACAGTGTAAAAAATCCAATTGGAAAATGAGTAAAAGACACAAACACCCATTTCATCAGAGAGGATATACAGAAAAGCAATGCAATATCATAAGCCATTAGGTCAACAAAAATTAAAACCTCAGTAAAGCATCACTATAAATTTAATTCAATAAAAAATTTAATTTTAAAAATGGATGGGTCTATTTCTAAATGACAGGGCATTTATATGCATATATAAATATACATGCATATATATGTATATAAATGACAGGGACATTGTGCTGTACACCAGAAATTGACACATTTTAGCTGATTATACTTCAATTTAAAAACTGTTTAAAAAATATCTCAAAACTGAAGCAACTCTGATTGCAAAACATTAACAATAAATGACCTAAAATATTTTAAAATATAAGAATCTATTTTAAATATTTGCCCCCCAGTAACCAAGAACAATGGCAGTGACTGGAAACTTACTTCACAATATTCCTCATTTAATAGGATTTACTTCTATTTATAAACCTCTTCAAGGTTTCCATCTCTAAACAGAATAATTTTACTTTTTT